ATAGATACAAAAATATGTAAATGTACTGATCTGAATTATAATATTTCTGACTGTCAAAATTTCCCAGATTCAAATCGAAGTGAATCGAATCGAATCGAATTAAATGGAATCGTGGATCGAATCGATTCGGAACCTTGTGAATCGGAATTGAATCGATTCTAGAAATCAGTGACGATACCCAGCCCTACTACTGCACTCTGATCACATCACTCAGACCAGCTGCTTTCTACAAAGTCTCATCAACAACATCTTTAGAAACAAACATCAACAACCAGGAAGCAGCTTCACCTCTGATCACACACACACTCAACTCTAGTCACTCACCTGGAGGATCAACAACACTCAGGGTGATGATGCATATGAGCATCTCTGGAGCATTATTTTGATTTGTGTAGACCCAACACTCGTATGTTCCAGTGTCATTAATCGTCACATCCCTCAGAATCAGAGACACGTCTCCATCCTTCATTTGTCTGTCCTGCAGATCCACCCGGTTCTTAAAAGATGGATGCTGGTTGGTGGGATCAAAGCGCTTTTGCCGATACAAAAGGACGTATTCCTCTCCCAGGTCAGCTCTTTTCCACTCTGTGACTGTGATGTTCTTGTTTGGAGCTCGACATGTCAGAGTGACGTCCTGTCCAGACTCAGCTGTGATAGTTTTATGGTCTGAAAGAGGAAACAACACAAAGCAGAGAGGTTACAGAAGTCTGAGTTTAACTGTTCACTTTTACAGCAGCCAATCAGAGTGAGGAGCTACAGGCAGAGAAGTATACACACTGGGTCCAGCACATCAGGGTAAATGGTCAACAGACACACTACAGACACAAATGCACATATACATGTTTATGCCAGTGTGTCATTCAAAGTACAAAATATTCTTCCAAAAGCAGGTTTCAACGAGTTTTCTGTGTCAAATGTCGCCTGAACATTAGTAAACTAGCACAGCGCTCCCCAACCCCCCGGCCCGGTACCGGTCCACAAGAGTTGAGGCTCGGGTGGGAAATTGATGGTTTTTAGGGTTTTTAATCATTTTTTATTGTTCACTTGGTTTTCCTGGGTCTTTTGCCGTGTGTTATGAATAAATCTTCTTTTTTTGGTAGCTGTACTGGTTTTATTTTGTTGTATTTATCTGCGACACTTTAAAGGCCGGTCCGTGAAAATATTGTCAGACATAAACTGTCCGTGGCAGGAAAAAGGTCTGGGACCGCTGAACTAGCAGACACAGGGATAGTTTCTACCCACAAGCCATCAGGCTTTTTGAACTGCTGACATTCTGCATGCGTCATTACACACTTACTACAACTGATCACACACACACTCAACTCTACTCACTCACCTGGAGAAACATTTAAGCTGATGGTGGTGATGGGCTCAGTCTTCAGATGAGCTCTCTTCCTGCGGTTTGCTCCTCCCATGAAGACACGACACTCATATGTTCCACTATCAGCAGTCGTCACATTCTTCAGAATCAAAGACACGTCTCCATCCTTCATCTGTCTGTCCTGCAGATCCACCCGGTTCTTAAAAGATGGATGCTGGT